CGATCGATCTATTTTATTACTTGAATACATTTCACAAAAAAAAAAAAATATAAAAGATATTTCGTCCATTGAATTGTTTGATTACAGTACAATGTTCTTTCGTCAAAAAATTAGAAATAAAACACTATATTGATTTACATCTGTATGTGATTTCAAAGACAGCCAGCTGTTGAAGCATGTTTTTATTTGTTGCCATCATTTTATATTCTCTCCATGTGTGTCATTATTCACCGCACATATATATATATATATCGTTCTTACTGTTTCTATCAACAACATTCAAATATGATTCGATTGATAATAAACATCTTCATCAGATATTTCGTGTATAATATTATTGCTTTTTTTTTATGATCTTTGTCCAAGATATTAACAATCGAACAATATATTCTCTTGAATAAATTGATTAAGTTAAAACGAGCAGATATGATTCTTTCAGTCGAATATGTATAGTAATAATAGATTACCTGACAGAAATTTTTTCTTTGATCTATGCGTGTCTTTCTCTCTATATCAAATGATTATAATCCAATATGAATCGTCACTTGATTGTTATTGATATTCAACAGAAGTTTGATCATTTGTTTTTTTCTTCTTCTTCATCGAAAAATCTTGTTTATAGTATTCAAGTAAATAATTATATTTGTATAAGATCGGAAATTCCTTTTTTTTTGTTCGTACCTTTGTGTTCATCATCATACCGCACGTGTATATAAGAATCATATCATTGAATAAATATCACTACGACTAACTTCTTCTTTCAACTTATTTATATATATATAGATATAAATAGATATACATTCGATTAATCACTGTTTTTAGAATAGAATCTAATTATAATAATATTTATTTATTTTAAACTTAAATCAAGTGGATTATTATCATAGAATGAAAAATTTTCTGGAATATAAGGTGGAACTTTACATATTGTTTTTTGATTTGATTGAAATAAATTAAAATCATATTGTTTTGTTGATAGATGATAATCAAATATTGATGGTGGAACTTTAACCATTGTTGGAATAAAACGTATACGTCGACGAGTTTTATTTAATATAGATTTTTTTTTAAATGTTATTATTTTATGTTTTGTTCGATTTTCACATGAATTAATTAGATCAGGTAATTCAATAGATGATGATGTTGATTGAGATATATACCAATTATTTGTTGAATTTTGTGATCGACATAATTTTACTTTAAGTTTTGAATCAATTGAATTTGTTGATGATTTTTCAATTTCTAATGAAGTTGTTGATTGTTTCGATTGATGAATATGTTTAAGTATTGATTTATAACCATATGGACTAATTGTAAATCGAATATTGAGTAATGAATTCTACGAAAATGAATAATTTTTATTTAAAAAACAAAAATAATTTTTACTTTATTTATTATATCAAAACAATAACATATATCGATTAATCGTTCATGATTAATATTTAATAAAAATGATTTATAAAAAAGATCGATCTAAATTTAAAGAAAATTTTTTTTTTTAAATTAACAAAAAATCTTAAATATTACTTTTATTGTTGATGATAATGAATGTTTAATTCGAAGAAATTTTTCAATTGTTAATAATGGTGTACTAGCTAGACATTCTAAATAACATTTCGATAATTTTGTTCGTGATTCATTCGGAAATAGATCCAATGAACTAGACAAAAAAAACAAATTAGCCAACGGCTATTCATATGTTCGTTAGACATTCAAAAAAGGAAATTCATTATCTATCGACAGATAGCCAACGGAAATACATGCATTGCTTTTTAATTAAAGACTAAATTTAATTCTACCATGTTAATCAATTATTAAGAACTTACATATCCCAATATTCTAAATAAACATTAATCTTTGTTTCGATCTGAATATATGTTGATTCTATAATAGACAATAAACAAAAAAAAAAGAAAAAAATCTTCCCCTTAGGCATTTAGTTGACTCTTACCATTAGTTGTCAGTAGAGATGATTTACACGCGATTTCACCTAAATATATAATAAAGAATGACTAGATAATTATATTGTATATAATGAAAAGTAGATGAATGTATTGATATGAGAACTCTCCCATCTGATTATATTTTGGACTCTAAAAATTGTTTTTAAATGTTAAAAACAAAAATCAAATCGTTTCGCATTTTGAGTTTTTTTTTTTGTTTGAAGGACAAAATAAAATAAAATAAAAATATACTTCCCTCCAAATAGTGTCTAATACCTTTTCAGCTCGATCGAGCATAATATCTCGGAGAAACGAAAGCTGAAAATTGAGATCATTTTTTAATCCCAGTATCGCATAGAAGACAACATGCTGAAACTTTGAGTCTATGACAAATTTTGCTCTACTTGTCAAGATCTATCTGCCCTGAAAATTTTCTAATGAGCCGTTCTTCAGAAATCCTAAAACGTGGGAGGGGAGAGGTACCTTTAAGTTGGGACTATGTACTTCATATAGACTCTAATGCACTGTGAATACACTGAAAAGAGTTCATGCCCTTCACCTATTGTATTTTTTAAATGAATGCGATCCCCTTCCTTAGGAAAGTTTATTTTCGAACTTCATTTGAAACTTTCAGACCATTTCATTATTCCTATTCTAAAATACAACTATAATAAGAGCTTGTCGTTTACACTGCTCATATACATACACCGGCAGGTTTGATGTTCGAGCAAATTAAAAGATTGAAAACTTTCACAATAAACTATTCTGTTTTTTTCTATGCAAAATTTCTTTTCTAATCTTGCTAAGAGTATAGGTGTGAGTTCTCTTACGTTGAATAATACTTGGAAAGATTTTATATAATAATCGTTGAAAAGTAAGATCAAATCTAAAAGAAAAAAATAAATAATTCAAAAGATCTTTTAAATTATAAATCATATAAATTTACTTAAGTGTTTGAAATGGATTAACAATTATTATTTGACATGTTGGACAAGTATTATTATTTTTTTTGAAATAATTCATTATACATAATTTGCAAACTAAAAAAATAGATGAATATTTCATTATTTATTCATAATAAAATAGACTTACAACGATGAAAACATTCATTAATAACTGTTGCTAAATGTATAAGTTCATTACAGAGTGAACATTTGAATAGAGAATTAACAAAAGAAGATTCTATAATGATTTTATCCATCTGAAGAAACAAGAATATATTATTCATCAATCATAACGATACTTTCGTTGAAATGTAATCATTATCTTGATACATCACATATGGCTTGTCAAAAAACAAAACAAAAAACGAACACTAATTGAAATAGGAAAAGTAAAAGGTCATTGAGAGAAAATATGAACATGCTCATCAATGAAATTACTATGAATTTTATAGTAAAACAAAAGATATATATTTCACACATTAATTAAATAATGATTCATATATATTTAGAAAGAAAAGGCCACGAAATTGAAGATTTTTTTTTCCTTCTCATAAGTGTACAAAACAAAAAGAGCAATCAAATATTGACCAGTGTGCGAAAAGGTTCAATATTTTCTTTCTATATATGAGAATATCCAGAACAAAGCGGGCACGTCTTCTTTGTCTTGACGATTAAGACAAAAAGAACAGAACAAGAAGAAGTAATATAACAAAGAAAAAAGAAAGACATGACGTTATGAATGATTACTAACGAGAAATTAATGATCAACGACGATGCGAACAAAAAAAAAAAAAAAACAAAATCATCAATGAGAAAGAAAGTTTATCGCCACTAGAATGTTTCAATATGTAATCGTGTGTTGATCTTATTATTGGATTTATTTTTATAAGTTCATAGACGCTTCTTTCAGGAAGATTGCAAAAAACCCCCCCGAAAAAATTCTATACTTCATGTTTTTGAGCTACAATCTTTCTTTTTATATGACAACTAGGATTAAATTGGAATGTGTGTTTTTTCCAATGGTATTGATTTTTAAATCATGTGGAAGAAAACTTCGCTTTTTTTTTTTGTTCTTATTATCGACGCCAGAGTTCAAGACATTCGTATGTTTTTTGGATAACTTCCGATAGGAACAAGATAGAGGTCTGCGGTTCTCACCGTTCGAAAGGGTGGTGCCTGAGTCATCGATTTGCATAGAACTCATTAAGACTGATGACCCGAATACTGGTTCTTTGAATGATGAAAACCACAGGCCTCTATCTTACTCCTATCGGAAGTTATTCAAAAAACATCCGAGTACCTTGAATTCTGACGCCGATAGTAATAACGAAGAAGTCTTATTTGATAGAGGACACTTTGAAGTTATACCAAAAATCGAAAATAACTTCCCGAAACGGGGATTCTCTTAACCTATTGGATTTATCTATTGAAAGGATATCATACATTTCCAAAAGAAAATGATATTCCTAAAGAGTCAACCAGATATCTGTCTTTAGCCTAATGTCTTTTGTTTGACGATAAGATGTATAACAGAGATGTTTCCAGAAAATAGGCTATATTATCTAATATTCAATACATGTAACATTAAAAAAACAAACTTTTCATTCAATAAAATGCATTGCTAATAACTTGACTACATGTTTGAAATGAGAAACACACATTCACATTTTATTTCGATCAATATCTCTTCTACTTACTAGTAGTTGTTTTATTCCTTCTTATTTCATTACATGTCATTTTGGTTTATTTTCGAATTTTACTAAAATAACATCTATTGCACCAGACAATAAAAAAAAAACCTGTATGCTTTGTAATCGAATGATAGATGTATTTGTATACAGCATACAATGTTAGATGGCTATTCTGTATCAACATAAATGCATGATTGTATGTGAGTATATGCTTATGAATGAACTAAAAGAAGAGGAAATAAAAAATGCTACATTCTCGTTGGTCAACTATATGTACAATATAGAAAAGAAAAAAATGTAATTTAATCATCGTGTCTTGCAAACTATGATTGATTGATGATGGAGATACAGGCGAACTACAAAAGAGATGGACAGAAATGATGGATATATATAGTTATCGATCATCGTAAAATTTTCATTGGTTTATTATTAGATTTTTTTATTTTGTTAATATGTTTATGAATGACTGATAAAAAAGATATAAGATATATTCATAAAATATCATTGGATACAAAATTTTATTTATATTTATATGAAAACTTATAGCTGAAAATGTAAATGAAAGTTATATAAATAATTAATAAAGAAAATCTATTCAATAAAATAAAATAATTTTCCAATGAATTTTAAGTATTTACATTAAATCTGATACAAGTACTTAAAAATAAAGAATATAAATTCATTGTTGTTTGATATTCTATGCTATAGCTCGAATAATATAATAAAATTTATAGTTGACTTATTTTAACATATCATTCTATGGTAATATAAAGAAGAGATAAGAACACTTGAATTAATTTAAATCTCTTCAAAATATCGTTTACTAATCAATATTTGTATTTTCTACAGATGTGAAATCAATAGAAAACAATCATCTTATGAATCAAACACATCTGTTGTCTATGAAAAAGAAATCAGTTTTCTATATCTAAAAAACTTTATATTATCTCGTAAATTAATTCGATTGGACAAATTAATGATTATTTAAATTGAAGATCAATATGTATGCATTTCTCTCTATTAGTGAAAACTTTTTCTGAGATCATATCAAACTTGATATTAGACATATTTTATTTACAAAACAAAAAAAATTTTTATAATAAAAATAAATATGAATCATATTTTCATATATCTATGAAAAAAAGTCTTCAATTGAATAAATAAGTTCATTATATTTTATATTTTAATTCTCATTCGTCAATGAACGTTTTGTTTCTTCAACAAATGCATCGATCATTTTTTCATGTTGTGCATTACTAATTTCATATTGATAATTTAAATATTTCCAAAACATTGTCACAATGTATACTTTGCATATGAAATGCAGATAGTGTACTTGATAAAATCATTATATTTCTTGAATGATCAGGAGTAACAATAGAAGTATTAGTCGAAAATGCTAAAATTAAAATCATTACTTTAATAAGTATTCCATTTGGTTCTTATCGTGGAGTTAAATAATCAGAATATTTCATAGCTTTGTCTCCATAAATTCTAATACAATTCGCTTTAAATATCATATTATCTAATGCTTTTCTTTCATGTATAATAAAAAGAGAATTCAATGTACCAGCTGTTGCACAATTATTTTCCACAAATGCTTGACGTGTATCAGCAGATAAAGCATGAAAATATGATGAACATTCAATAAATGATTGAAATGTTGCGAAAAAAACTCGAAAAATAACAATTGCTTCTGATCGTAATTTTGGTGGTAATGATTGATTGTTGTATAAGACAATATTTTATTTGTGAAATTATATTTGCTTCATCATAAGCATGAATAATATTTGAAAGAAGATTTCATTCATTATTTGTAAGATTTGAACGATCATTATTAAGAAGACTAAGTGGTAAAGGCTATAACAAAGGACTCGAGTACATAACTTCATAAATATTAAGATTTATGTATCATTCGATGCAGAATTTTACGCTGAGTTATTTCAGATCGATTGGATAATGTCGAGTATAATAAAGTTCAGAAATACAAATCTTAGTTACTCATTGCCGTCAGTAGAGTCCGTCGGGTCGGATCCAACTCTGAAGAAAACTTTGATGCATACAATGTATTGTGAATTTGTTCAAAATTTTCTTTGTTTTATGAAGAAAAAAAAATTGAATGCATTTAGAAAATAGACTAAAAAAACAATAAAACACTTTTTGAATATATTATCGAAACTAATTCATCGTCGTGCTTGGATCCAAAAAATTTAAGCGACCGAGTCCGGATCCAATATTTTTTAAACAAGCGGATCCGGTTCCGGGCACGGGTATAGCAAATTGTAAACGGGTCCGAGTCTGGGTCTAGAAATCTTGGGCTCGACGAGCTCTAGCCGCCAGAGTCAATGATATCACGAGATAATTTGCAAATAACTTTGCATTATACACTAGACATGATGCAGTACCATTGGAGCCAAAAACTAATAACAAATTTGAAATCAGAATAAAGAACTAAGTCGGCTTATATTTTCATGAACATTTTTTCTCGTTGAAAATTTAGCTGAAACAGCATTTTAGTGGAATTCGTTGTTTGATTGTACCCTGAGAGAGACCTCAGCTGAAATTTCCCACAAAAAAAAATGTTCGTGAAAACATGAACCGACTTAGTTTTTAATGCTGATTTTAAATTTGTTATTAGTTTTGGCTCTAACAGTAACTTTTTTATTTTACTAAAAACCTGCTAAATACATGTCGACATGGCACAAAATCGTATCTGATAAATGTGCTTGAAATATCTGAAGTGTTCAGTATTTGTTGATTTTGAAAAATGCTTCCGAGTGGTATATAAAGAGTTATTTCACAATCGGTAGTTTACTACTGGGATCCAGTAATTTTATTCTATCTATTTTGGGATACATTTCTTTATCATTTTTTTATTTAATTCTCCTGAAATGCAATAAGGAAGTAGGTCATTTATTATAATGAGATTTTATTTATATATGATCTGTCATGATCTGTAGGCGGGTGGGTACGTTCAAATTTTTATCTCTGTACTTCAAAGTTTCGTCTTTTATATCGTGTTTCACAAAACAAATGAAGTTTTAAATATTAGTTTTTCTGAAAATATCATGATCGCAGTCCATTGTGTGTATCTCAAGTTATAGCAGTGAAACCTAAAATAAAACAGTTTTTTTCCTTCACATCATGAAACTGTTTGATGTTGCTATGTTGTGTATTAGGTTGTTCGTTTGTGCTTTATAGAACATATTTTATAGACGAACCAAAGATTGTATGACTGCAAGAAATCCATATTGATAATATAGATATTTTCAAAATATTGTTACTAAAGTATATTGTATGTTAATTATAAATACTGAACTTGATATAGATGTCATATTTTCAGAATAATCAGCATTAACTATATAACAATTAGTTGAATGTACCAAAATAAAAACTATTATTTAAATAAGTACTTCATTGTATTCTAATCATAAAGGTAAATTAATCAACGAGGAAGTATCTACAAAAACGTTTTTGTAGAAACTTCACCTGTATTTGTCACGAAACACATTAATATCAAATAAGAAACATTAGAAAATTAGTCATCATATCTAGCAGCATGTATGCTTCATTTCCTGCCTGATATTGCTCTCTTCATGTTTATTCTCTAAGGGCTATGTCCAAATTGCTAACAAAAATTAAGCCAATTAAGAAAAAAATGTTCGCAATTTGGAACACAGAAAATAGCGTTGATCTTATTTTCATTGTGTTTCCAGATTACGAACACTTTTATTAATTAGTGATTACAATAGCTGATTATGAGTTCAATTTTTTATTAATAATATAAATATAGAAGTTTGAAAATAAGAATAATATCATAATTCAAAGTATGAATACAAATTTTACTTGATCAACAACTGTAAAAGATGAAAAGACTATCTTATATCGATTGAGATGTGAAAACAAGAACGGTTCATTTGTTTATATATGTACTTTCAAATTTTGTTTACGTACTATAACTTTAAAAGACAATACAATTATCAAATCAAATATATATTCAAGATAAAGATTTTCATGCTTATGAAAAAGTTTTAAGATCTATTTCTCATCGTTATATAGATCTTATAGAAGATGCCGAAGATAGTAGTGATGAGGAATAATTATTTTGTTATGTATTTATGTTGTTAATAAACTTTTTTTCTAATTAAAACTATATTACATAATTATTAAAAGTTTTCGCAATTTGGAAACGTAATAAAAATCAGATCAACATTATTTTCTGTGGTCCAAATTATGAACAATTTTTTCTTAATTGGCTTAATTTTTGTTCGCAACTTGGAAGCTACATCTCTGAGTGTCTTCATCTTTGATCATAATTCACTTCACTGCTATAAACATGCAACTCGAACGTTTCCTTTGATTAAAAAAAGCTCGAAGCTATAAAACTAAAATTTAAATAGTCACATATTGTTTCATAGTTAAAACACCTTCAACTCCTATGTTTTTTTGTAAACGCTTCCGAATGGCACAATAAACATGCGCATAATCAAAAAACCTATTGTAAGATTTGAACGATCATTATTAAGAAGGCTAAGTGATATGATCTATGACGATATTATAATTCAAAAAAAAACTACGAATATACGTTTCAACAAACCTTTGTCGCTCTTGATGATTAATTTTTAAATGTCGAATATGATTTGATTTTAATAATGACTACCGACAATCTGAACAAGTACTTATATATTGTGTTATTTCACAGTCATCGTTATATTGACATTAAATTTAAATTTTTTTTTTTTGATTGATATAAAACAGAATATAAACTTTTATGATAAGAATTTCTAAACTCACGTCTGATTTTAGTACATATTGTCGAGAAAATATTTTACAAGACAGATTAAAGGCAAACTAGATGTTTGTTTTTTTTTAATTATTGTTAAAGTGATTTTTATTTAATTAATAGAATCTAAACATGTGCATATAACGATGCACATAATGATTATCTTTCCTTCTTATCATGTTCTTTGTAAAAGCTTTTAACAACAATTTTATCTCATTAATAAAAAAAAAAAAACTAATATTTATGATGTTTTTTTTTTAATTAGTGTCTTAATTTTATACTGTGGATATATTTGTCTCTTCCCCAGATTCTGCTTTGCGGACACTTTTTTCCTCAATTGGCAGAAAAAAGTGTCTGGAATCAAGAAGTAGCCAACAAAAAAAAAACTTCTGTTATTTTTCTCGTTAAATGCTTAATGAATTTTGCAGATGATCTTCATTCAACATGGAGAAAGTATGGATTTTCAATAGTTATATAATGGTTAGAAAGTTCAACAGCATGATCTTTCTTATCATTCTATTATAAATAAAAAATACATATTTGATCAAGTCGAATAAAGATCATTTCTAAAATATTCTATGAGAAAATCTACCGAATTTTTTTTTATTGATAGTACAAAAATATAGAGCAATGTCAACTTTAGACAATGATGAGAATCTGTAGTTTATTCTAAAGGTATTCAAAAAATGCAAACGTGAACCAAGAACATCAAATCTGCCGATTTATATGAGTGACGTAAAAGTCACACTATCACCATAGTTGTATATTCGAATAGCAAACAGCGACAAGACCTGAAATATTCACGATTTATAGACAACATATCAATTCAAAAGTGAGGAATTAATCGGAGTATCATCCTCACCAGTTGTGCATATAGTACACTCTAAAAGCAATGTACGCGGAATGAAATATGTGAAAAATAAAACTTTTTCTATACATTAACAGCCTTATTTCTTCATTCGAACGAACGTTATTAAGTATTATATTTCATCATTTATGACAAAGATCGAGAGATTTAAGCAACTATAATAATTCTAATTAATTCATTTGTTTACGATTAAGGAAGGTTTTTTAGTATTGTTGAATGAATTTTTTCTTCTTAGTCAATTTTTATTTAGTTTTACTTAACGTTGTGGACAATGATATAACCTTTCTTCCGAAGAAGGATGGTATTATCGTTTGAAACCTGAAGTAACAAAACAAAAATAATTAAGAACAGAAAACTGACTCTTCGCATTAATTGTTCTTTTTGTTCCAATATTTCTCGCATCACAAAGTACTTTTTTTTTTTTTAATATTAATTATGTATTTAACATTCAACTATTGAATGAGTACATATTTTATTAGCAAATAACATTAGAAAATGTTTTTCTGAACTCAGATGAAACTTGATATTGAACACATTTTATTTAAAAATCCAAAAACGATTCATTATTTATATTTCAATTTTCAATTGTCAATGAATGTTTTATTTCTTCAACAACCGTATCAACCATATTGTCATGTTGTTCATTTCTCATTTCATTTGCACTATAAAGAATATCCAGAATACTTCGTATTAAAGAATTTAAACATCGTACAGCTCCTCTATATCCATATTGATAATTTAAATATTTCCAAAACATTGTCACAAGTATACTTTCTATATGAAATACAGTTAATGCACTGGATATACTCATTATATTTTCTGAATAATAAGGATTAACAATAGAAGTATTAGTTGAAAATGCTAAAATTAAAATTATTATTTTAACAAGTATACCATTTGATTCTAATTGTGAAGTTAAATGAAATGATTGTTTGACAACTTTATCTCCATAAAATGTAGCACAACTAGCTACAAATGTCATATTATCTAATGCATTAATTTCACGAATAATAAAAACAGAATTCAACGTACCAGCTATTTCAAAATTATTTTGTACAAGTGCTTGACGTGTATCATTTGATAAATTATGAAAATATAATGAACGTTCAACAAATGGTTGAAGTGATGAGAGAAGAGCTCGAAAAATAACAGTTGCTTCTGATAATTTTGATCGTAATTTTGGTGGTAATGATGATTGTTGTATAAGACAATATTTCATTTGTGGAATTATATTTGCTTCATCATAAGCATGAATAATATTTGAAAGAAGATTCCATTCATTATTTGTAAGATTTGAACGATCATTATTAAGAAGACTAAGTGGTAAAGGCTATCAAAGAAAAAAAAAGGAACTTTATTGAAACATAACAATTCTATATTTCAACAAACCTTTGGTAATTGATTTTCATTTTTATTCTTAATTTTTAAAAGTTGACTATGTTTTAATTTAAGTTGATTGTAGGACCAATGACGTATTAATTGTTGATTCATACCAAGTAAAAAACATTTCTTCAAACGACAAGCTGAACAAATATTTCTCGTTCTTTTTGTTATTTTACAATTATTATCAAATTGACATTGAAGTTTAATCTTTTTAATAGATAACAAAAAAAAAAAAACAATATGTATAATCTCATTTGATAAGAATTTATAAACTTACGTCCGATTTGAGTACATGTCGTCGAAAAAATATTTTACAAGACATACATGTCATGACATCATAATTGATTCCACGTGCAATATCATCACATACAAGACAGATTAAAGGTAAACCAGATGTTCGTTTTGTAACCATTGTAGATTTTTATTCCATTAGACACATCATTATATTTATCTGCAAAAAGAAATTCTTTGAATCTTATAATAACTTTTTTGAAAGATGCAAAAAAAAAATATCTTTATTACATATGTGTTTCTGTAAATGACATGAAATGAAGATTTGTGTATTCAGCTGTGAAGTACTTTTTTTTTTCTTGTCGTATAAAAAAAAGCAACTGCGTATTTATTTCTTTTTCATTAATATCAATGTATTCTTTTAGAGAATTAAAACCGTCAGTAGACTGTCCGATATAATATGTATTTTACTGACGGTAGTAACATATGTATTCATTTATGAAACATTTTTCTTTTAATAAGACAATAATAAATTCTTTTGATGTCAAAGAATATGATAAAGTGATAGATTTTTTTTATCGAATAATTATCATTCGAGTTTTGAATACATTAAATATTTTCTATTATAGAGTTTTGATCAAAAGTTTTTGATGTAGTTAAACAAGAACATACCTGCTCGTTTTGGATGCATAAAGAATTTCTAACAAAATTTGAGAATTGTAGAGCAAATAGGTTTCTAGAAGATAAGACGTCGATCAAAATTGTATGACTTACGGTTATGCTTTTATTATAGAAATTATAATAAAAGTACAACCGTAAGTCATACAATTTTGGTCGACGTCTTATCTTGTAGAAAACTATTTGTTCTACAGAAGTATAGATTTAAAAACCTTGGACAAACTTGTCCTAGTGGCCCTTTCTATTATTTCTATGAAAGAAAAAAAATCTGAATTCTCATTCTTGTTACCTGTTGTATTGAATTCAAACAATGTTTTTCTCATCAAATTTATCTTTCTTTTTTTTTTTTTTATATGAAACTCTTATCTGTATATCGTATAGAAAAATAGAAAAATATTAGCGCAATCTTTGCAATATTAAAATATGGAATACGATCTAGTAGTTATTACTAATCGCAAGAAGATTATTTTATTCTATCTACTTTAACACACACTTTTTTCATCATTCTTTTACTTAATCCTCCAGAAATGCAATAAGAAAGTAGTTCATTTATAATAATGAGACATTATTCAGATACAGCTTGTCATTGCGTGTCAGCAATGTCTGTCACGATCTGTGGCAGGGAAACGAGAGAGAGAGATGGGTTCAAATTTTTGCCTCGATACTTCAACGCTTCTTTAAGATCCTATTTCATAAAACAAGTGAAGTTTTAAATATTAGTTTATCTGAAAATATCATGAGTGCAATTCATTCTATGTATCTCAAGCTGTACCAATGGAATCTAAATTTACAACAGCTTTTTTTTCATTCACATTATGGAACTGTTCGGCATTGCTATATTATGTATTAGATTGTTCGTCTTTTGCTTTATTGAACATCAAAAATATATTTCAATAGAAGACTCTGATAATTGATCTTCATTCTTGATAATTAATTTTAAATGTAAAATATAATTATTAATAAAATTTCAGATCGATACTAACTAAAACAACATTTCTTCAAACAACAAGTTGAACAAGTGCATCTTATATGTTATGTTATTTCACAATCATTATCAAATTGGTATTGAAGTTTAATCGTTTTGATTGATATAAAACAGAATATAAACAATTCTTATGATAAAAATTTCCGAAACTTACGTCTGATTTTAATATATATGTTGTCGACAAAAATGCTTTACAAGTCATACACATTATAACGTCAAAATTGATTGCACGTACCATATCACCATATGGAAGATAGATCAAGGCAAATCACATGTTTGTTTTTGTAATCATGATTGAATTTATTATTTTTTTGTTTAGTTATTTTTACCATTTTATAATCTAAAAATCCATTCTATTATTGAATATTTTTTGAAAAAAAAGAATTTACGGATAAGTAGATTAAAGCAAAAAAAAATATACTCATTTATAATCTATAATCCAAGAATAGAATGTAAAAATGTGCGTGCAACGATGCATAGAAAGAAGATTATTTTGCTTTCTTTTCATATTCTTTGTCTTTGTCATTAAAAGCTTTTTTTGGCTACATTTTCTCCTTATAAAATGATGTACTGCCAGAAGATTTGTTTTTAATAATAATTTTATCTCATTATTTTACCTCGACTAAAAGGATAGAATCTTGAAATGGAAATTCATCTATGTCTATCTATCTGTAACATAGTTATCATATATTAACTATGATCCAAATGATCATATTGTATCTGCGGTAGAGGTGATCAAACAGTTACTATGGTAGAAATGACCATCTGATACCTACAGCAACAATGGTACAAATGAATATATACGATAACAAAATGCATAACGATTGAAATTAATCTAGGAGCACTATTCCAAGAATATGATCGTATGTAAAGACATACGTTCGGCTACGGCGTATATGAGCGTCGTAATACTGAATCATGTCATAGACAAAGATAAGGTGTTGACGGTTGTTTACGAGAATGTTTTTTTGACCTGGAATACTATTAGAAGTAACGATCAATGTTATTAAATAATTGAATGGTTTAATTGATTGTTCAATACTGAATACATGAAGATGTGATTTAGTGATATTAATTATTTTTTCTTCGTAATAGAAATATATATTAGTATATAATGCCTCTAAAATTAATATACTAGCCTTTATGACTGTATATCATGCAGAGAAATACCCTAATTCGATATATATCAATATATCTTTACAGTATGACGTTATATCTAAGGCATAATTTGCTTTTCTGTATGGATAAAGACAAGGAAGTTTTTTTTTTAATTCTCTGTGAATCAATAAAAATCAAAGTATTCTAAAAAAGAGACAATCTCAGGATCATGATCGTCAACGAAAACCTAACAATACAGTAAATGACAGTTATATTTAAAATCTTGTCTAAATTTTCACTTAGTATATTCCTCGATAAACTTTTCTTATATACGATATTGTAGTTGGCAATCATTGCCTTCGACAAATATATTGCAATATTCTATTTCATTTCTTTAGTATAGATTGAAAAACTGTATGATCATTATTGCTGTCTGCATAAGACTTGTTACATATTAAACTAATAATAGTTGTTAGTCAATACGTCTATCGAAGAGTATTTGAGTAAAATATAAATTATATGTCGTAAAATGTTATTAATGAATAACGATTTGCAATAGAAATTGAGAAATCAACTTTTAGGCGATTTTCACTACATATGTTGTTTCATCATAAGTATGAATGATATTTGAAAGAAGATTCCATTGATCAATTGTCAGTACTAAACAATCATTGCGAAGATGACTAACGAGGAAAATATTGGAGGTGTACAGCTTTTTTTTTTGGCTCATTCATACACCATTCGATGCAGTATATTAAGATAACAAAAAAATCTAGAAGGATTTGAGTCGATAGCATACTGGTCAGAAGTTATGATCGTGAATAGGTCTACTTAGTTTTATTTTAGATCATTAGGTAAGATAAATTATTTATTATTCCTAGTGAATGTGCTATATCAATTGTTAGCAGGAACCCCCACAGAATCTTGGTTAGGCGTCCTACTGAGATTTGTCGCAGTATATAAGCATTTATCTAGTTTCTATAGCATTCTATGAAGAATTTGTCAATAACTTGGTAGATTGAATGTTTAGAAGCATTTTTATAGTCAAGTGACTAAAACCTATAAAGTACCCTAAGGTATTGAAATACCTCAAGATGTCAGTGACATACTGGTAGCTGAATGCTCTGAACTTAGTACATTCATTGTGACATGTTTATGTTAGTTTTATTTTATTTATTATCTTTCAATTAGATTTTTGTGCATATCTCACTATAATTTCTTTTTATTATTTGAAGAACTAATGCAAGAGATAACACACGATCTGGGCTTTTGTGAATTAAAATAAGTTTGATTGATTTAATATGACATGTATGAGTTTAAGTGATTTAACATGACATGAACGATTCTTTCAACAACGAACAGTACGAGTTATTCAAGATTATTATCTACTATGCAACAACTATGAAAATTTCATTAATCACGTAATGTCTGTATATGCCAGAAATAAAATAAAAAACGAACTAAATATAGTCAACTTATTATTGTTTATATATAGATTAACAATATAAATACATCTGTTTTATCAACTAGACTTCAAAATACAATCAAATCATATTAACAACCCATGTCATTCTAATCGCTCGAAAACAGTGGTTCTTCTGCTTAATTTTGTTTTTTCTAATGTTAGATTTCACTCAAAATCACATACTCTTATTGATGTGAGCGTGTTCAAACCATCTGTACCAGCTACATCGGCTATTGTCGCGTAGTTTTTGAGATTGATTATTTATAAATATGCCGCCATCTGATATAATATACTATGGCGTATTAAAATCGACTTTTTTTGAGTTGAAACAAATTTCTTCAAGACTAAAAATATTAATTTGATAGACAAATTATTAAAAAAACTTGGTAAAAATGGAGTAAACTGTTCGAACTGTTGGTGTTTTTTTTTTCATAAATCGCTGTCAGTCGCAGTAGCAGAGCTAGGATTTTAGACTAGAAAGCTCAGCCTTCCCTACGGACTTTTGAGTCCCCTGTGGCGAGATTTTGAAAGAAGGAGCTGAGCTCACTGTGAATTCTGACTCTACTATTGGTTAATCATCGGTTTTGATACAAAATTGGCGATGTGCGAATAAACAATTTATCTTTGGTTTATGCATTCATGATATTTGTTATTATAGAATTACAAAATCCTATTCCAGTCTCAAGTAAATTCTAAACTCATTTGACACAATTTTGGTGGAAATGAGCATGAAGCATGTACAGAACAATTGAATCTTAGTTTTTTTATTCTTGACTTTCTAATAAAACATTTTCATTTGAAAAAAGAAATAAATGATATTATTTGTTTAAAAATCATAAACAAATAAACAAATGGCATCAAATCTTAGAATAAATAAATAATTACTTGCATAATATTCATTATACCAAAAACATTTCATTAAAAAAAATGACTTATTTTATTTTTATTTACAGTAGCTTTACAAATAATTATAGAATAACATAAAAAGATGAGAAATTTATATGAATAATTGTCAAATGTCATCATCCTTACAAATATTTAAATAAAATAATCTTGAACTATTAAACAGTAAATTCTAATAAACTACGAACAATATATTTAACATATGTTTACATTATAAAAACAAAAAAAGAGATTCTATCAATGTTCATTTATCATCTATGGAGATTATAGAAAAATATATCATTGATTTCATCGACGGCACCGATCAAATAGATGAAATGTGCATATATGTATATAAATATTCACATGTAGAACTCAAAAACAAAATATACTTACAAGGGATGGTTCCCAAGTGATTCATCGCTTTTAAGTCAGGACTATCTACATCATGTAAACCCTAATGAGTTATAAATACCTTGAAAAGAGTTTAGACTGATAGCTTATTGCTACCGAGATACTTCGTTTTTACGGTATGTTTTAAGCACAGTGCCATGGTTTTCCTTAGAAACATCAGAAAAACTGAGTTTGGATTTTCGACTCGAAACTTTAAACTCAGTTTTTCTGATGTTTCTGAGGGAAACCACGGCACTGTGCTTAAAAAATACGGTAAAAACGAAGTATCTTGGGAGTAATAAGCTATCAGTCACAGAAAATAATGTTGATCTGATTTTTATTACGTTTCCAAATTGCGAAAACTTTTAATAATTATGTAATATAGTTTTAATTAGAAAAGAATTTATTAACAACATAAATACATAACAAAATAATTATTCCTCATCACTACTATCTTCGGCATCTTCTATAAGATCTATATAACGATGAGAAATAGATCTTAAAACGTTTTGATAAGTATGAAAATCATTATCTTGAATATATATTTGATTTGATAATTATATTGTCTTTTAAAGTTATAGTACGTAAACAAAATTTGAAAGTACATATATAAACAAATGAACCGTTCTTGTTTTCACATCTCAATCGATATAAGATAGTCTTTTCATCTTTTACAGTTGTTGATCAAGTAAAATTTGTATTCATACTTTGAATTATGATATTATTCTTATTTTCAAACTTCTATATTTATATTATTAATAAAAAATTGAACTCATAATCAGCTATTGTAATCACTAATTAATAAAAGTATTCGTAATTTGGAAACGCAATAAAAATAAGATCAATGTTATTTTCTGTGTTCCAAATTGTGAACATTTTTTTCTTAATTGGCTTAATTTTTGTTAGCAATTTAGACATAGCCGCCTGAACTCTTTTCAGGGTATTTATAACTCATTAGGGTCTGCATGATGTAGATAGTCCCGACTTGAAAGTAATGAATCATTTGGAAACTTTCCCTCGTCAGAGATAAAAATAAATATGAAACATCTGTTTGGTTGAATTAAACAATTTACCTGTTGAAATTCTTATAATTTTGTTTAATAAATATGTACAATGTTCAAATATCCTATTCTTTAATAGATATTAATAAACGATTCAATACAATTGTTAAAAATCATTGAACATTAATGAAATATTTCTCCAATGATTCTATCTATCCATTATTTGATTAATTTTGTTTATAAGTTTCACCTAAAATTAATCATAAAATCACATGACTCAATGGAAACCAATATTGATGTGTTAGTGTTTTATTTGAGCATCGGCGCCTCAATGAATGTTAGAACAACAGTGAACAGTGATAGGTGTAAGCAGTATACTCACAATATCGGTAAAACTAATGTCAGTGAACGCCTATGTAAATTGTCGGTGAATAATTTACTGAAATTGCATATCTCTAGTTTTAAATATCTTCAAAAGAAAAAAATCTTCAGTCCAATGTAAAAAAGTTTCATAAAAGGGAAGATCTATGAAAAATATGATTTACTTTTTTCATTTCTTTGTCATTGATATTATATTCCAATCTCATTATTTGAATTCATTAAAGACAAACTCTATTTAACCATTAAAAATTTTAAATCATTTGATTTTTGAACCTTTAAACAAAACAAAAAAACAAAAAATACATATTTTGTTTTTCTTTGTCAAATAATAATAATAATAACAACAATAATAAGTAAACATCTTCTCAGTCAGAAAGTCATATTTGTCTAAAAGTCATGTTTTTAATTTATTATATTTCGACTGATTCTTTGCTAAATACAGAAAAAAAAAAAGTCTTCTTCGATCTAGAAAAACAAAAAAAACCCAACCAAATTCACGACGATAATGATGAAAAACAAAACAATCAAATACAACAGAACAAGAAACTACACGGACGAAACATGAATATATTTAGTTCAAAAAAAAAAAAAAAGGATTAATAAATAAAAGAAACAAAAAGGTATGTCTGTCTATGTGCATGCATCATGAAAAACAAAAACAAAAACAAAAAAATAAACAAGTCAATGTCTTGTAAGTCCAGTCGAAAAGTCAAGAGAAGATGTGTATATGTCTGTCTTTTTTTTATTTATTTATTTATTTATATTTTCACTCACACTTTTTGTCGTTTTCGATGTACAACAGAAGCAGTTGTTGAATCAACAGATTTATCACTTTCAATAATGCGTATACGAACTAATGCGATTTCTTGTCCATTCATTGTTTCCATAGCTGTATCAGCACTAACTTCATCACTGAACATAACATAACATAATTGATGATTTATCATACGAACATCAATTAAATTTCCAAAACGATTAAATACATCACGAATATAATCTTCAGGTATTGAACGTTGAGGCATTATTTGTAAAGTTTTAGCAACCTAAATATTTTATATTTTGAAAATAAACATATATTCAATCGTTATCTAACTCCTATTGAAGTTAGAAAAATTCTAAGAACGATTGATACTTATGAGTCTTCCTTCTCGAGCTCGAACCATTCTAATGTTTTTTGGTTATTTTCATAATGTTAAGTACGTAGCTCCAATTCAAATAGTAATTTTAATAGCCAATGAAGTTTTCTATCCAATACACTTTATCGTAAGATTTCACAGATGAACAATGATGGTAAGGCTCCGAAAAAAATCGAACACGGTATTTTTCAGATTCTAGAAGACTTTGCCAGAGCTATTTTTAAACAGTGCCATCTTAAAGAACACAAAATGAGGCATCACCAAGTTTTCTACGACCTTCTCATAAAAAGTTACAAGCATCACAAAAATTACGAAAAAACGAAATTTTTTTTTAAAATCGACTAAAAACACCTTTTTCATGATTCTTGTAACTTTTTACAAGATATTCGTAGAAAACTCGGCGATCCCTCATTTTATGCTCTTTAAGATGGCATCGTTCAAAAATAGCTCTGGCAAAGTCTTCTAGAATCTGAAAAATACCGTGTTCAGTTTTTAGGAGCCTTGTCATCATTGTTCATCTGTGAAATCTTGCTATAAAGTGTATTGGATAGAAAACTTCATTGACTATTAAAATCACTATTTGGATTGGAGCTATGTGCTTAACATTATGAAAAAAAACAAAAAATCGTTGTTTCTAAACTTTTCTCCACCACTTTATATCCTTTTTAAAAAAAAAGTCGTATAATTTCAGGGACGAAACGCTCATTTCCAGTATGTTCTAATCAGCCTCAGACTTCTCTATAGGTGAAAATTCAGCTCAAAAATACAGTGAAATGGTCCGAACTCTAGCAAGAAGACACATAGGTACCAATCATTCTAGTTCCAATAGAACCTAGGTAATGAGTGAAGTCTCACTCCAAATCTGACTTTTCACTTTGTGAGATTCCCATATAAGCGATATTTAGACAGTTTATAAAAAAATAGTCGAAACCAAATAAATATCTTATCTATGAACAAAACTTAACTTTGGTTAATATTTTAATAAATGATATCAATTGACCTCATTCAGTTACTCTTAATCAGAGAACATAGTTGGATAGATTTCCAAGTGAATGAAGTATGATCAATTCCGACCGAGAAACTTAAATTCAATGGCCAATTTTTTTCAATTCTCATCGGAACTGACTGTAATCTGACAGAGGCAGCTATTAGAGTTTTGCTTTCAAGTTCCTACAATTTTTCAGCGGAAATCATTAATCTGAGCTGTCAAGATTTTTGTATCGGAAATTCCATTCCTTTATGTTCATGAAACAAAACGTGGATCTTACTATATTTAAAAAAACAAAAGAAGGATAAAAATATGTTTAATAAATGCAATTGTCGCTAATACTTAGACATGCACTCAAATCATTTGGGTCGTTTTTTTTCCTAAATGAAGACAAATGTCCTTATCTATTAACCTATGTGACACAACATTTTCTCCTCGGTAGAAAATTGAAATAGAGGAATGATACTAGAAAATGTCAAAAACCGATTTCATCAACATACTAGAGTCATTCAAAAAACCCAAACTCCATGAACAGTGTTGTATTCAGCGAGAGGATAGTACCCTCCCGGATTTCGTTGTTCAAGTCTATACTCCTAAAAATAGATGTTCGCTTTCGGAAAAGCGAACATCTGAATAAAACACTACTCTAATTATATAATCAATGAGATAAGTGTGAAATATTCAAATTCTTCTATTGGGTTTAGATTCATGCTCAGTTTCTTTGAATTTATAATAAACTTACAGGTGCATCAAATGAAGCATATTTTTGTTTAGGTGGCAATGGAATATTACAATAATCAACATATTGTTCTTGACTACCTTGTAAATTACTCATCTTAATAAAAACATTTGATTAATAAGAAATTTTTAAAAAAAAGTATTTTTGATATACTTGATGTATTAATTGTCCAATGCCTGATGTATCACCATATTTACCATTTTGTGATTGATTAATCAAATCATTAACAACTCTATAAAAGATTTCAATAGAAATTTCTATTTAAAAATTATATATTTTTTTAAATTTATTTTACTGTTCATCATAATATTGAACAGATAATATTTCACCATCAGGAAATTGAAATGCATGCAGTTTTTCACGTGCATATGTTGCAAATTGACAAGATTTATAACGTACAATAAAATAATCTAAATAAAAAAAAAAAGATTTTAAATAATTCTTTTGAAGAATTCTTTCAAATTTCATACGTTCATTAAATGTATTTAAACTAAGTGGTGAACATTCTTCCATATTTGGTATAAGATCAAATAATTTTGATATATGATAATTTGTTATTGTTAAACCACAACGAACAATTAAACGACGTTCATTATTATTATCAAGTAAATGATAAGCTGATGATGTTATTGATTGATCTATATAAACAAACAAGAAAGAATATTTTAAATTTCATTGTAAAAAAAAAAAAGACAAACTTGTTTCAGTATGTGATAATGAACGTGATGGCGGAAGTGGAAGTAAAGGAGGTGGAGATGGTCGATGATCAATTGAATTTGATGATGGTGATGGATGTTGTTTACCTATTGGTATTTTATGACAATAAGGAGGTGAAACAGCTCCATATAATGATGCTGATGAAGACAAAATTTCTTCAGCATCACGATGACGTTTTGAAGAAAATGGTTCAGCAAATTTGGGTTTGTAACCTATTAAATAATTATAAAACAAACTTCTTATTAAAGACATTATCTTATGATCAAGAAAGTTCGAACGGATTATATACGACATTACAATTCTCATTAAAATATATGCGAACAAAAAAGATAAAAAACACTTACATGGATCACATTCTTCCAAAGCATAAGCAGCTTCTGATGCTTTTGAAAATGAAATATAAGCAAATCCTTTATTTTCACCCGTTAATTTGTCTACAATAATTTTAATATGAATAATTGAACCATATTTCTGAATATTAATAATAATAAAAAACAAAAAAAGCATTATTTTTATTTTCTATTCCTAACAAAAAAACAAAAAAAAGAAATCAATCATCATTACCTCAAATACTTTACGTAAATCATCTTTAGTCATATGTTTTGATATAACAACAAATAAACGTAACATTTTTTCATGTTCATCTGGATCACGTACACTACCTTCACGACGTGAACTTGATATAATAGCCTAAAATTAAAATGTATGTATATAATGATTTAATTGAAAATTAAAATAATTTACTTTCACTGGACGTGTATGTGGTGGAATAACAGTTCCATTCATTTCTTCCATAGCACGAGCTGCTGCTGATGCTTTTTCATATTTAATATAAGCAATTCCTATTTACAATAAATAAATAAATTTAATTAATAAATAGTATTAATTTAATATATAAACCTTTGCTTTCTTGATTTCGTCGATCTCGTACCATATGAATATCTTGAATTGTTCCATGAACAAGAAATGCTTTACGTAATTCATCTTCTGACATAGCTTTTGGTATAAGTAAAAAAAGTCGACTAAATGGTGGATCATCAACATCAGCTGTTTTATGAAATGTTGATTGATTTTTTTTTGTTGATAATATTAATCCAGATTCTGATGATGATGATTGTTTATTGAGATTTTCAGATGAAACATCTCGGCTTCGATTCCGATTGCTCATCTTGGTTTTTTTTCTTTTGAAAATAAAACTATGTTAAAAGCTAATTCTAGGTTCACATATAAGCAACTGAATTATCAACTATAATCTCTATGTTTATTTATTCCATAACTTCCTATGGTATATTTATGTGTAAAAGATGGCGCTGTGATTCACAAAAAAAAAAAAAAAAAAGAAATTTAATTCTTCCATATTATATTTGATTTAGTTGGTTTTAAAGATCGATGAAAATATGTTACTGTCCAACCAATTTCACCAGGATATGCACAACGACGAAGTGGTGCATCAATTGTATATCCTCTTTGAATTCAAAAATAGTCAAGAAAAATAATTTTTTTTTTTTTTTTTGATAAATTACCTTGTCAAATATCCAAGATCAAGTGAACGAAGTGTTGATGCTTGTCCTTCTCCAATATCTCCAATTAAATCTCGAATAGGATATTGTTGAATACATAGAGCATTTGGACCTTTTAAATATATTATATATGAAATCGATTGAAAATTAATTAATTGATATACCTGAAAAAAGAGTATTTCCTGGTCGAGGTCGATCAAGAAAAAGATCCGATGATGTATTTTGAAGTTTTTTTCCAGCCCAATATTCTATTGTACGAGCTTTGTGATTTTGTTGCTTAGACATTTTTTTTTGCAATCACCTTCTCTTTGTTTCTTTTTAAAAAAAGTATCAATGCACCATTTTTTTTTCAATTACTTCTTTTATTTTTTTTACAATTTTTAAGACACTTAAGAAATCTGCACATGACAAAAGAGTGTGTTTTTTTACTATGAGTACATATAATCATAAAGCATAGGCCAACGTATTTCTCGATATGTGAATAAAAATATAATTATTTGATGAACTTTTTTAATAAGTAATATAATGATAATGAATAATGTAATAATTCCAAATAGAATTATTTTTCGATTAAATCTTGTTGCAATAATTATACAACCTAAAATAATACTAGTAATAAATGTTAAAAGAATAATTAATAAATCATCTGTAAATGAAAGTTGACGTCGTTTAGTTGTTAATGGATGATCAAGTAATTTTAATAAATAATATTGATCATTATATTCATAAATAAAAAGTCCAATAATAAATAAAAAACAAATAATAATAAATATTATATTAAGAATAATAATGAAAGAAATTTGTTGTTGTTGTTGTTGTTTAAAATTTTCATTTATTGATGATATTTCATGTTTTTGTATACATTGAAAAATAAAATTATATTGTTCAAATTCATTTGAATTATTTCTATAACGTTGAATAAGTTCATCATTAACTTCATATATTCCAGCTTGAAGAAAAATTTTTAATGTAAATGTATCATAGAATTTCCAATTAAGATTATGAAGAAGATTAATTTCTTGTAATTGTTTTAATAATTCAATTTCTAATAATAATCGTTCATGAGATACTTCACTTGATTCAAAATAATAATAAGAATTTGGCATCAGATACGCGCGTTTGATATCTCATTTACTTAAGTTAAAAAAGAAATAACTTTCTTTATGAATAAAATTAATCATTTAGTAGAAGCAAAATCTTGTTTGACATTATCAATACAGTGCGAGCCAAAAAAGTCACCGGGCAGTCTTTAATTTCGAATAATCAAAATAAAAAGCTGTAGCTTTCACCATTCAAAAGAGGCTCTATGTTACTACGTAGTTCCATGTACTATTCAATAGTGCTACTTGTTGCCATGATAATCAGTCAGTGGTCTTCGATAAAATACTGGTAGCTCTATGAAAATTACGTGGAAGTTCAATTCTAAAGGGTACGTTAGAATCGTGATCGTCATTGTCGCATCTAAAACCTTCTATCGGAAGAAGATAATAGATTCGGTTGTTGGAGTTAGCATCAATTGTAGGTACACGAATCGAACTTCTATGTCCTTTTCATAATCTTGCTAAGAATCACTAACTGATTATTAGGTAAACAGTCTGTATTGTGGAATAATACATAGAACTTCGTAGTAACAGACACTATTTTGCCCCTCCCTCCGTTAGGAACACCAGAAATGCTGATTTTCGACTT